GGCATTTGAATGCGAAAACACGCGAGGATATGCGGACCCGAGATGCTCGCCTAAACGCACCTGATTCCCCCTCTAAGTCCTCCGGCCCCCTGGCCCGGTGCACGGGGCAGCCTTCTTTGCCAGCGACCGTCCAGCAGCGACGGGTGCACGGTGGCTGCCACCTGTAAACTGCGGAATGGATCACGCTGTTTCATTTTTGGGACGATCGCCGCTGTTAATTAGAATCTTTAGACCCTCTCCTAATGGCGGACTTTAGAAACAGAGTTCGTGTTCCTCGAACATTAGATCCGTATCCAATGGAAGCCGCCTTCAGCTTGTTGCCAAAGCGTCTTCTTTATTGTGTCCCCTTTGGTTAGCCTCTTGTGCTATAAATCGGTCGAGCGACCTTTTATTGGGCACGATGGGACTTGCGTTGAGAAATTGTGCTCACTGATATTGAGTTTGATTCAGTCCCTTTGAGAAGGAAAGGGGAATTGTATTGTTATACAGGGTTTTTCACGTGAATATGGAATGTTGGCAGGAGGTACGCAATTGTAGAAATAATTAAGGATGTACATGTTTTTTAAAAGTCTTGTTGCTATGGACGTCAGCGTTATCGCCAAACTGATAGTTAAGGCTAACACCCAGCGAATTTGAATGTTCGGCAACCGAATCGCTGGAATCGTTTCGCATTATGCTTTCAATCGGCCCCCATTATTGCCGACCAAAAGGAACTCGGAATCGGTGGCGCGCACGCGATTCGATCCCAGCATCTTTTTCGTCGCGGACGATGCGAGGCGGATACACGCTTGTCCCTTCGTACGTAGCCTGATATTGTTCGAAACGAAACCACCCTTTCGAGAGATTCGGCCAATCGGATCGCGGCTCAACGGTCAGATGAAAAAGAATTCAATTTACCGGCTGTCCGGATTGACGAGGATGAGCCGGGAGCCGAGATTCACGCTGTCGACCCGGTGTTTCGTGTAGATTCGGCCTCCTCGCGAACGAACGGACGATTGCAGATGATCCTAGATAAAGGTGGAGCAGGCTTCGGGATAATTTCAGGCCGGGACTCAGCACACGGTGAAACTGCGGAACCTTTTCGCCACGAATCACGAACCTTGAATCTTAAATTGAGCTTTCGACTGAAGTTTCGAGCCTTGAGCTCAGAAGCTTAAATCCAAATATATAAGTTTTGAGTCTAGATTTCGATCCTTGAACCTAGCAGCTTGAATTTTAATATCTAA